CGTGTTAAAAGACAGTTAAGTATGTAATAAAAATAATAATAACTGAAAAATGAATGTGCATTTCACTGTGCCATCTAACCATCCTCGTTTTAGTCCAAAACTGCTTCCCAAAGGGGATGAGGGGAGGACAAATTTGCATCCGTCCATCCGTCCGACCTTCCCGAAAGTTTGTCCGGGATACATTTTCTATACTATTCCACATGGAGTTACTAGATGCAAGTAAATTTCGGGATGGCTGAGTCATGTCAACAAATAGGTCAGTGTGACCCATGATTTAATATTGATAATCATATAGTTGTCACATGAATGGCAAAATGACTGATATATTCGCGAAAGCATGGAGTCATGAGTATGATATGTATGTCCTGTCGAAAGGGGACGACATTCTGTCTACGGGTTTCTCTTACGGAGATTTTTGTACGTTCAATGCTAAAGAAGAATATGAATATAATACAACACCTTTTAATGAATATTATTAATTTTAACATTAACAGATATGTATTGACATGAGAACAAATCTTTACTTTCAGGGTATCAGATTCCTTTCAGTTACCTACCAGCACAAGCAATGTCCATTCAGCTATCCTCCCAGGAAAGTGCCCTTCTTATCTCCATAATTGGGATATCAACTACACTATCTCGAGTGCTGATTGGCTATGTATCTGACAAACCGTGGGCTAACACTATCATTATGAACAGTACCATGCTTATGATTGGTGGAATGTGCACGTGCCTTGTCCCGTATTACACAACGTTTTCCGTCCTTTCGGTCTGTTCAGCTGTTTATGGTGCAGTTACAGGTAAATATGCATTTTTTTCTGCACACTATTAACAAGTGATTGGTCCAAACAGCATATTCTTCATACGGAAATGATCAGTAAACTGGGTGTGTACTAGTTTTAGCAGGTGTGATTTTGAATTGATATCTAAAGATTCTCTATATGGGTACATGTAATTTCAAATGCATCTGTGACATTAAGTGATTTAACAATCTTAAGTCGGCATCAGATCCGTGCTATCACAAGGAGGCAAATACATCAACATACTCTGCCTCCACCACACATATACAGGATTTAACTGTTAGTGATTCGTCATATGCTACACACAGAGAATGGATTTTGGGTTTCAATAAATAAGAATGGGTAATCTATGAATCATCCATCTGGAGACGATTGGGTACCATTCGCCGATCCCATGTAAACTAGGGTAAATATGCTGTCCATGCATTGATTCAAGTCATTTTGCAATTTCGATTTTTCAAAATTTGTTGTTGGCGGTTGAAAATGGTAAAATGAAGGTTAAAATGAATAATTGTTATATTTAACAATAAATTTTGTTTGCTACTAATGTGTTTTTTCATCTTTAGACCTTTTTGATTTTAGTTCGATTAATTCATTTTTGTGACGGTCTCTTTTTACCTTTTTTTGGCCTTAATGACTTGCACTGTCGATTGGCTGATGAACAATACAAAAAAAAAAAAAAATTGACATTGGGTTATATAAATTCAATGCTATATTTTCGCAGCAACCTATGCCTCTTTGGTGACTGTCAACCTCATTAAGCTGATGGGACTACAAAGACTGTCTTGCTCGCTTGGGACACAATTTATGTGTATGGGAGTCGGTTTATTCGTTGGATCTCCCATAGCAGGTAACGTGTTCTACGCATTTCTATATTTGGCAGGTACAATGTCAGGAGACAAAATAACGTTTGTTGGATGATAGGGTTTCATGTCCTTGAAAAGGGTAACGTCATTTGAAGACAGGTTGATAGGGAAGGCAAGGACAAAAGACTTGATTTGGCAGGGGCCACATTAGTCGGGTCCTAATAATGGTAATGGGATACTACAAACCTCTTCTTGCCCTCAACCTTCAGGAGAGCATTTTTCATACTAAGGTTGGTTTTATTTTATTTTATTCAACGCCCCTATTAGCAGTTAAGGTAATTTAAGGGCGTGCCTGCATCTGTGTTATGTAAGCGTGTATGTGTGTATGTTTGCCGGAGACAGGGTATCTTGCCTCCTCGTAAAAGTGCGGATCCGAAACCGACGTCATAGTGCTATCTCACTGAGATACCATGACGACCAGTCACATTATACTGACAACGGGTGAACCAGTTTCCCAAAATGCTAAACGTTAAGTAGGGAATAATAACTACCATTTTTAAGGACTTTAGCATGTCCCGGCCTGGGGACAGAACCCATTGCCTTCCTCACCTGGGCGAACGTTCAACATAAAAGCCAAAAGTGAGGTGTTGCCAAGCAAGGCGCTAGGAAATTAAAGGTTGTTAGAAGTAGAAAGATTTAAAAAGATCCCAAATATTGCAATAGGTGCAGCAGATTTATTTTGGTTGCTTTTGTGACCCTAAAAAAAGCAAATCCCCAATTCTACAGGGGGTAACAGCAGGTGTATTCTTTTTTCGATCCCCGACCTGCAGGGTTAAATAGCGAAACTTCGACACGGTACATGTAGCATTATACTCCACTTGGTTACATTACAAAACATGTTAACTAGTCACTATCATCACCCAATCAAAACAAAAACATTACTCTCATTTTATGTACACATACCGTACAACAGGTCTATTTTTAGTATTTCCATTGTACTCATTAGGCTCTAACATCACTCGCCTCTTACGATCACGCAATTAGATAAGCCTACAACATGCCCATTCCTGCCAACCTTTATAATGAGAATGATATAAAAACTGTGTTCCGTATAATTTATCTGTCAAAAGTTTTGGGTATCATCTTGAAATTATATCATCGAATTTGAAATTGAAAAAAACACCTTGTTATAATAATACATTGCCTGTATACTTATGTATGCAGTACATGTAAAACCTTTTACCGTTTAGTTTTGTTTAGTGTATGAGAGTCTTACTACTGTTGTCAGACACAATATGACTTTACCGTCGCTTGGCACTTATACAATTAGATCAGTTTTGCAAAAACTACTCAACATATACTTTACATGATAGCACATTGAAGATTAATTAAAAGACAACGAACAATTAAATTTAATGCGTTCACAAGCTAGCAAGAGACATGTAACAACCACATCTCCTGAATCATATTCTATACATGTTGGATTGATTTGCAAAGATTTAGAAAGTTATTTACCTAAAGACAACACATCCTGTCATGTGCCATTCTTTTGAGAAAGGTTTCTATTGCAAATATATCAGCATCGTTGGAATTTGGACACTCATCGCTACATTTAAGGTAGGATGACAAACAACTACCAGTTAAAACCATATTTGTTATACGTAATATATTTTTTCACTTGAAATTATATTTTGGCGATTTCTTTGCAGGTGTCCTTTCTGACGTTAGTGGGGACTACAAATACACCTTCTACTTCGGTGGTTGTCTCATCGGAGTCGGCGGCTTAGTTTGTTTACCTCTCAATTGCATGGCTAGGCGGGAACAAAAAAGGAACTGCAATATTAATGGATCAACTGATTTGAGTTGTACTATTCAAGAGACATCAAATGTTACCCTCGAGTCATTCAATGAAGTTTCAGAAACGTCAGCTTAATTGCAATTGGTTGTGACAATTATGCATCCGACCAATTTGTGTAGCAAAATATACACTAACACTCGGCCTTAACACTTACACATACATATCAAACAAAGAGTTACGTGAAGGTTTCAACGAATGTTTCAATGACCTTGAAAGTGGGTTAAGGTTATTTATTGTAACAACTTCAGTCGTGCTTGCTGTCCCCTGCAGCATCGGGGAAAGAAGGGCCCGCTGTATCCTAATGCATATCATAAAAAGCGATTAGATATGGGTTCCTGCAGAATCAGGAGTATTCTGCTTTTGAAGAAATATTGGTTTGTTTTTATCAAATGTTCAAGTTTATTTTAGTAAGATAGCACAAGCAGGCACATCCATTAATGATCTTACATGTAACTTATACATTGCAGTTATTACGCTATTAAACATAACAAACTTAATCCAAAACACCTTGCTTGTAATTAAAATTGAAACGGTAGATATTGGGAAGAATTTAATATGAATGTTAGAACACATTCAACCCCCGTCATCTTAAAAAAGTTGGTCAAGCATACTCATCTGAACAAACATAATAACCTCTCATCATCGCATGCTTCCGGCTAAATATTATTATTCTAGACTCTTTGGTTTTTCAGTAGACGTCGTTAAATGATAAAAGCGGACGCATTAAAATGCTTAAATGTTCTTTTAAAAATGCCCTCATTCTTAACATCGTCTAAAGGCAATTCAAAATTGTTTTGCATACTTAAACCCACTGTGACGTCATTCTCGATGATGATTTGCCGGTGCTTCGTATGTGGGAGTATAAAAGCTTGCACATGCAGAGGCTACCAACTTATTCTCAGAATACCGTTCGTTATGCCTAGAGAAAATGTTTTACAAAGATTTAAGGTTAACAAGTGATGTTTTGGTTATATGAAATAGAGAAGGGTTAAGAATTTACTTAAACAATATTTATGAGCGAGATGACATGCCGGACAATAAGACCTTTAGAAGAATTTCAGCATCTAGATATGTTTGGATCTATATTCTGTAGCATAATATTTTTCACGATCCAAGGGAAACAACTCGAGCTTAAAGAGGTAACGAAACTATGAAAGTTTCTCTCTCAATAATACAAAGAGTAGAATACACTATTGCAGTAAACACTATTCTTTCTTTTCACAGTATTATTTTGTGATTGCAAATGGATTTGTAATCATAAGATTTATATAGTTCTTGTATTCCCTGCCAATTAACAACAGAGAACCTTGACTTTTAAAACTCATTGTTTTACCAAAGTGTGTAAGGTACAATTTACAGTAAAACACCTCTTAGAGTAATTGACTGCCAGTCAACACATATTTTTGATAATAACCTTTGCTACGTTTATTTTGTTGACATATGTCTTTTACTTGTCGTGTGTTTTATGTTGTCTCATTTGTTCCATATGTATTAGCCTTGATGACTAAAAGATTAATAACCATGAACTAATCAATGCAATATCATTTATTTTAAGCAAACACATATCTCGTTAAATTTTAATTAACCAACAAACCCTCCCTCCAGTACGCATACATAAAACATATGGCGGTACGTCCTTAAATGACCGGAGGAGTTAATAGGACGTTAATCTCTATAAAATCAAACCAAACATGTTTTATATAGGGATGCGTACATATATACACACCCAATGAAGTTTGTTCTGTTACTTAATGATGTTCAAAAACAAGTCCTATGATTTCGAGGTACATTTATGACACGTGATGTCTTTGAAAATTAGATTTATTTTGCATTTATTATATGTATATATTTTCGCATAGAACCATACAAATTTACATTATATAATGGGTACTTAAACGAATTAGCGTACTCCTCCTTTTGTTCAATATTTCGATATAAAACTTAATCAAGTTAAGCATTTAGTGTTTTAAGTTGCAGACAATGGCACAACTAATAAATACATAAATGATTTCATCACATTTCTTTAAATAAATGTTCATTTTTCACATACATGTCTGCATCATGTTATCCTTTGCTACACGTATTTCCATTTAATTCTTCGTTTTACTGAATTTGAAAATGCAAGCATTGATCTTGACATTTATGTGACGTAAATTTTCACTTTCTTGATATGAAATTGAAAGTAACCACCTATTATCATTTTGTAGGAATATATGAGTTTTATATTTAAGGAGTTGATTTCAGCGTTTTAAACACATGTTGGAGATCAAAATTTAAAACCTTAAAACAATTTATCAGCTGACTTGCCTGTGTCTATGGCCTTTATTCTCCAGTATGTCGATATTTACTTTTTCAAAAAGAAATCAGGTAGAATGATCCCTGTTAAGTCACTGCGACTGTTTTGTAATGTCAAAGTTATGACTGTCGATAAATCGCGATATGATTATTAAGCAATTCATGCACTCGATTAATTTTCATATCTAGTATTATAATTTGGATGCCATAGACAACATTTCAAAATACGTTCCAACAATATCATTATCTACAGAAACGAGACATCAATCAATATAGTCGTATTAATGTTTGCTAGGTAGCATCACCAGAGTCTTAGAAAGACGAAACAGCTGTATGATGCAGTGTCATTCATTTTTGGCATACTGTATCTATTAACAAATTTTAAACATGCAATCACCTGTTTGTATGTTACGTTCATTTTACGTTAAAATGTTTACTACAAGTAGGTAGTATATGAACTGCTGGTATCGTTTAAAGGTAATGTAAGATGACAGGTACATGCACGTCCTGTTACAATGCATGTAAGCATACTGTATACCTGGAAATTATTGCGGTAGTTTAATTTTCTAATTAGTTGTGTGTATATGTTACTATACGTGTTTTGCTTAAAGTAATTAAATAAACAAACTTCCAAATGATACATTTGACAATTTGTTGAGTGAGGACTTTTTGAAGGACGAGCTGGTCGCAGTAATATAAGACGGCAAGTATAAAAATATCGATTAAGTGAAAAGGGGAATTGCTTAAGTCAATATTTCTTTTTATATTGACACGCGTTCGATTTTGTTCCATTTACCAGAATCTCATAATGTGTACCGTACGGGTAAATCTATTGCAGAGACATCATTCTCATGTCTTTTGTCAAACAGTTCATTCTGTGCTACAGTAAACCAGTTCCTCCAATCACCAACCTCGCCTGCAAGTATCAATAAACAGAAATTGATGATATTATAAAGAATATATGAGCCAAACTAACATAGGTCTGCATTTGACTTCATAAAATACATCTTTCAGCATATATGATTAGGAATGTTGATTATGTAGTAATAACATTTTAGACTGACAATACGTCAAGAAAGATAGATGTATGCCTATGCAGTCTTACGCGTTTCGATGTATCTCAAAAGTTTTATTTTTAATTAAAGCCACGTCACACCTCCTTTTTATATCTTTTTTTTTTAAATGACATAATCATAAATGTCACGTTTATAATGACACATTAGTCATAATTATGCGTATCCCGTTAAATGTTATCCTAAGTAGAGTGTTTTCTCATGTGACGTCTGCCTAGGGCGACATTTAAAAAACAAAAAAATTGACAGGGGTTGTGTTTTTGTTTATTGGTAAAGTTGGTCACTGTCGAAGGATAAAACCAATGAACTTCCAAAAGACCATCTGCTTACAATGTACCACATTGCGACAGATGAGATATATATTTTTTTTATTTTCTCGCTTCATTATTCTTTCTTTTCGGCAATATATAAGGCATTCATCTTCATAAAACTTGGTGTTACACGACGATATTTAGCTGTGAAAGTCTAAAACAGTTTTCTGGCAGCCATCTTCATATTATATCCATTCACATGAGCAACCTACTTGCCGATTTGCAAGATCTAATGACTTTTGTTTATAAAGAAACCAAGGTTAAAAGAAAAAGCTATATTTTCCTTTTTCCTCAAGTAAAATGTGGATTATGACAAGTTTACCGGAATTCCTGATGTTGAAAGATATTATTTTTTAAGCAAGTATGAAAAATAGACTCGTTTTAAAACTATGCAAATTAACGTATCCAAAATGGAAATTCTCTCATAGGTAATACAATTTCACATACTTTCTGCTTAAATCTTCAATAAAATGAATAATTCTTTCTCAAAATAATAATAGTTGCAATATGTTGCACGATGATAACACTAGTATTATGTCATTTAAATGTTCTTAGAGGAATTGTGTTACCGCACCTTTTAATTCTCATACAGGTGTTAGTCAATGAGGTCCCATTTGTCATAAAATGAATTCTGAAACCAACTATTTCTGATTTAAGCTTCCTACTGTACCCATAACTTTTTAAAATTCCAAATCGGAGCCGACGCTCAAGTTAAATATCAAAAGGCGTTGACTCTACATTCGACATGCTCTGATTGTGTGTTAAGTAGATACAGGTGAACAAATGCATCAATAGCAACGATAAATCTAAATCAATGATTTAGTATGATATTAACCTTTTCTGTAAAATGGATTTTTGCCATCCCTTGAAATATCCTTCATCTTGTCACTCATGTTTGTCTTTTCCTGAATGACGGAGATAAATTCGCATCTACGCGTCACTTCATCCAAAAAGGTCGATTCATGTTCCACTCCTATAAAATCCGCAAGTCTCCCTATACTGCTACGGAGGTCCTGAAAAGGTCAACGTAAAATATATTTTTTTTAACAACATGCCATTACACAAACAATACTCAACCAATGTAATTCTTTTACAGAGCAGAAACTGAATTATCGGATAAGATGAGTATGTTTTAAAAAAAATAGATAAGTGATCGTTTCATTTTCATAACATATTGTGTCAAAAAAATAAGACTTTAGGTCGTGTTTAAAATGACATGTTATGTTCTATGTGTAAAACTTATTGTATTAAATTCAGACATGAAAATCAATACGACACATAATGTAAATAATAATGCCAGAAATATAGACACCTTTTTCATTTCCTCAAAAGAGATAACAAAAACAGGGTAGTCCGGATTGTCCATCATGAATTTCTGCCAAGCCTTGGCATGTTCAAACCAAGAGTTGTATACAGCTGAAAGAAATAACAGTTAATAACACAACTGAAAGTTTGGTTCTATCTGATTCAATTTCCTATTACCAGCTAAGCGCATATAAAGACGTGTGTCTATGTATGTAATGTGTGCAGGTATTGTGTAGCGGACATGAGTAAAACTATACGTTCCTCTCATTGCAATTAAATTTCCTGGGCATGGAAAGAGAACAGGAAAAAAACCGCAATGGATTAACTGTGGATTAAGCAGCATATCTCATTAATATATATGGTTACTGATGCGTTAAAACATAAGTTATTAGTTGCAATATTTAACGGAGTAATGGTTATTTTCAAATTAAATCATTAGAACAGTGTGAATACTATGTAATGTGCCACTACTAAAAAGAATATATGTGGCCATCAAGGTTATGCAAACTTCTGGGACTCGAAAATCCACAGGCAGAGTCTACCACATTGTACTAGAAGAGTTGGTTTTGTTGCTTAATCGAGTTAAGCATCCTTTAAATAGCTACAGTTGACAAAAGACGGGCTTCCTTGTTTGAAATGTAGGTTTTTGGCTCCTTACAATGTCCTTGCGGATCTGACACCGACTTTAAAGTTATACCTCGTTAATACGACTCTTGCTGCATGCTTACACAATTGTCACTTACCCTTCCCCTTCGAATAGTTTTCGATAAAATCCTCCCATTTTCCATTGTAGTTCTTCGCTTTCGGCGCGTTTAGCCTTTTTACGCAGGTATAGAAGGAGACGGCCGAGTCCTTTGGGTTTCTGTACACATACACCAACTTTCCCTTGTTCTTCAGGAATTCCTTTGGTAGATGTTTAGGATAGAAATGCGTTGCAAAATGTCTTGGCGTCTTTGCCATATCAATTGATTCCATTGCTTCGAAATCCAGAATTCGAAATATTTCTTCAAAATTATTTTTTCCGTTTATAAGCATATGCAAAATATCATACATCCAGTGGGTCCCTGTTATAAAAGGAATAGCCGTCCCTTTAGGTTTTACATAACTAAGTGTACAATTTACATAATAAAAATATCAATTACATTGTACTAGACAAAACAAAAATATATATTTTCTGCAAAACATTGTTCATTATTACCCCGTACAACAGTTACGTTTCCTCCATGATAACTGAAATGACCAATTCCCCTGCAGGTTGTGTGTACCAATGCATGTCATTGTAAAAGACAGACGAACAATCTGTAATCCCTTGCAAAGTTCAACCAGATATTGTTTTCTGTTAAGTAAATTACCATTTACAGAATTTCAGTGTATGCTTCACAGGTTGAAATAAAGAAAATCTTTTTATTTTTTATGTACAGTTATCTTAACACATTCCCCGCTTTATAATTGTATATTGTTCTTAATTGCAAATTTCCAGTGCGCTTATTTTTTTTTAAATTGATTTATACACCAAAATTTGAGTGCTCTAATGTAGGTACGTTTACAGTATACGGAAATATTAAGATTTTTTTTAGGTTTAAACTGTGAGGTACTCTGATGCAATCCCTTTGCTTTGTACTCACTGTTTATAGGTAAATTTAGTTAACTTGTATAGGGATTACCCGCTTTAGGATAAGACGCTATCAAGACATCACCATCTTTGTATTTCATATCAAGGACACTGTCAACCCGGTCCTTGCAATCTCCAGGAACATAGACGGGGAAATGAACACCATCGTAGTATTTGTATGTGACCTCCTCTCCACCCGCTTCGACGACTGTGCGTAACTCCATTACAGGAAAATATATTTGTTTTGGACCTGAAATTATGATTTATTCGATTGTATCTGATTCGAGAATCGTGTGCATCTTAATAACTGGTTTGTTAGGTCCTGGTAAGGGAGCAAATCTCTGTCAATGACGTGCTTCAATGTGTGTAATGTATGCGCATGTGCTAAAGACACTATGTTATCTCCTTTCGATAGTGGGGATTACTTGTCGAATTGATAGTTCGCAATATTCTGACCCTTCATTTTATACTGACAACGAGTGTTTGCTTGTCTGAAACGTTTATGACACAAACCAATCTTGAGTCTAATACATGACGTTTAAAGTTTAAGCCTCATGACCTTTGTTGGCTCATACATTTGTCTGTCAACCCAGAAAAATCCGTTATACAGATATTAAAAATAACAAGCCATGTTTCTTTACTCAGTCAGTGGATGTAATATTTCTTCGGAAGAATAATTAGAGAATCTTCCAACATTTACATTCAAACCCACGCGCTAATTAAAACATACACACCTGCCTATACCAAATCGACCATACAAATCAGACTTAAATATTTTCTATCATACTATACCCATTCTTACAACGCTCCTGGCTTCTTACCTGAATTTAAAACGCCATTATGGTTATGTCAACCGAATATCATGTGTCGCAGTTGAAAACTTATTAATACGTGTATGAGGTGCGAGATTTATCAAGAAAACCTAGTGCGCAGGCGCGGTGAGTGTATTAAAGAGAATATCTATTGCGTGATGCTCGTCAAAGATCACCATATTTCAGCAGGTTTCGAGGTAAAAATTAACGCCACGACACGACAAAAGAAGAGTTCACACAGGTACATATGTACCTATCACATGACGTTACATAACCCTACATATGTACCTATCACATTACGTAACATAACCCTACATATGCTAACAACCTGGGATTACACATACAGTGATATATGCATCGTTACATTAGTTTTCTAACGACACTGTACACAACAAGGAAATCTAGTCATGAGATACACGTCATAATTAACGTCTTTAACACAACACGCACATGATTTGTAGATACATCTGAGAAACACAAAGACATATACTGAAATAACCATATACATGAAACCGTCGACTTACCTTGTTCTTTACTGGTGGGAGTGTGTATACGGTCACTATACAGTACGTGACCTAATTTTGTCGTAAATAGCACGAGGTAACTTTTGATACTGATAACGTGTTAACGTTGTACAATGTATCTTACGGGCACATATGCTGTTTTAATAGAAGTGTCTAGAATGTATATCGCTACATATATCCAATGTTGACAATTTGAATATCTACATATCCTCGATAAATCGTCTATATGCACTCGTTATCTAAAGTTAATACTGATCAAACGCATTTGTATGCGACGGCTTGAGATAAGGATACTGGATTTCTTAACATATTTTTACCAATATGCTTTAATTCCTATACATAGTGGGAACATGATTTCGCAAATTTATCTTATTGGCAAAATCTCAAAAAGTATACGATTGGCAGATAGTCAACTTTTACGACAGAAAGTAGGATTCATCAGGCCTACATGGAACCACTTTTAACATGACTTTTAAATATTGGAGCAGTCGATCGTCAGTGTCGATGTTAAAGTGTTAAAGGAACAGCAGAAATCCCCGATTTTACAGGAGCCCTACATTACCAAGCAGTAGGATGTAGCAGGTCTCTTCTTTCTCCAAACCTAAAGGGTATTCATGTTGTTGTTTCAGCGATTTTGGTTTTGCACCACATTCTTAAACCTAAACGTCAAGCAGAGAGCAGGACACAACTTGAGAACACCATGTTCGTTCCGGTCAGGTGACAGAAGCCATCACCATAATTGCCTAGTCGAACGTTCATCATCAAGGCAAAAGCGAAATACTGCAAAGTTGGTGCTAAGAAACAGAAATGGTTGATCGATCTTTCAGTTCAAAAGGTATTAGAACCTCGGGACAACGAACGCTAAGAGAAGGTAGACTTAGTCAATGTGTTTATCTTCTTTAAACGTTTTAACGTTAATTTTATTTAAGCTCGTTCGTAGGTATTTTATAAATACGTAAAGGTTTTTTGACGACCAAAGTATCGGAAGCCTCTAGAAAGATTTAATTTAAATCCAAGGGATTTCTATATGCAATTCACTGCTCGGATTTCCACTATATCGATGTTTATTGAGTACCGATAGGACACGCAATACTTTGATGCATTACAGTAATGGTATAACGTTAACGTCAATAGCCTGGATCAACTTCCTTAGAGCTTTCAGTCGTGACATCTTCCAGTAATGCCCCGAAGTAGTAAAAACACTCAGGTTGTTTATATACCGACATTTGTAGGTAAACGATTTACAAAATTGTAAAAAACCAGTCCTATGTTCATACACTGAACATCTTGTCTTATATACATCAATTATCTTAAAGATAAATTAGCGTATCTATGGTTAAATGATATTTGGAAGCAACAATTGTTTCGATTAACCTTAGCTTCTTCGTCCTGTTCTTAAACAAATCGTGTTTCGTAGAAATACAGAATAGATTCGTGAATTACGTTCAATGTAGTAAGCTGGTTATAGGACGCTAAAATTCAAACCAAACCAAACGGTAATTAAGAAGATGCCAGATAGGAGTTGGTCTCATATAACACCAGTATTTTTTCAGACGTTTTGTTGACAAAACACGACCAATACATCTGCTGCACCCTATGCAACATTTGGAGTATTTAAAGTTGGTTGGTTATACAGGTTATAACGTCCTATCAACAGCTAAGGTCCTTAATTAAGGACGTGCCTCTATGTGTGTGTATGCTGAGGCAGAGTATGTTGGTGTATTAGCTCATTGTGATAGTGCGGATCTGATGACGAATTTATAGTGCTATCTCGCTGAAATACTATGCCAAAAGCAACAAGCACAGTATTCTGCCCGGACACATTATACTGACGACAGATGCACCAGTTGACATTCCCATAAAGAACAAATGTTAGAAGGGAAATACATGCACTACCATTAAAAACATCTTCTGGATGTCCCGGCCTTGGGTCAGAAACCCATTACTTTCCTTATCTGGGCGAACATCAAAGCCAAAAGGGAGGTATTTCCAAGCATGGCGCTAGAAATTAAAAGGTAATATTTCTCTTTCTTATCACTTTTTCCTAACGCCTCACTTGGCAATACGTCATATTTGACCATATTGTTATTGAACTTTTTGCCCAAACAAGGAGGGTTATGGGTTATGTTTCCAGACCCTGACGAAGCAAAGTCCTCGACATAAATTTTTGTACTTTCTTGCTATCTGCTGAACTTTTATTGGGTTGCGGTGAAGAACATTGTTCATATTTGACTGGCTGGAAGCCTTTCCTGTGTTCCTTGTGCCTGGTGTTTTAGCGATGTGAAAGGGATGACTATGAAAAGAAGGCAAATACACCTCTCATTTGCATATAATGCCTCCAGCAAATAACCATACATCACTCGCATAGTCATGTCCTCACATAACCTTGGCTGTAAATAGGGCGTTAAGTCCTCTAAATAGAAAAAAAATTAACAGGATATGAACAAACAACATGCTTCCCACTGAAATAAGATCAGAATTGGAGTTATTTAGTTTTAAATACCATTATTTTTAACGCTTGTTTGTAGTACCGTCATGTGTAAAAACACACAGGAATTAAAACAAAATAAGATAAACAGACATGTCAACCTTAGCTAATTTCCCGCAAAATCGTATTGCTGCGAGTTCAAACAGGGACTATTTGATTTACTTAAATTAATAACAAAAGTTGCTGAAAAAAATGTTAACATTGAAATCTTATTAAGAGACACGCATCCGTTGATATGCAAATTTAATTCTTAGTGCGAGTAAGATTGGATAGATTGCATTATATTGATCAGTGTTAAGATAAGAACTTAAATTTATTTTTTTAAATTTTATTATGAATCGGTGTTTATTGTATTTTAATTAAACTGGTCGTTATTCTATATAAGGATATCTTATTATCGCCACATTAACAGGGGACCTTTAAATTATAATAACGACACGTCTAAATTTTTCAAATTCAGGAGAAATGGTTTTCTCTCAGTGATGAATAATTGGCATTTACATGAAAAACATTGGCCAATGAACAATTGAGACCTACTCTTTCCTCGAACCTGCAATCACTTAAGCATTAGCCCTGAAGGATCGCGAAAAAAGACTAACGTCTTCAGCCTCATCGACGACACCCATGTAAATCTAAGTCGAATCCACGTCATGTCACATCCTCACATCGATAACTCAGGTAGCCACAACATAACCACAAGGCATTGTGATCATAGAAATATCGACCTTCATATCGAACGAAGAAATAGCATATTTCCCTGCGAAATCATGATAATGACCATTAAACTTGGAGAGTTGTTTTTATTTTTTAATGTCTTATTAACAGCTAAGGTCATGTGTGTAATGTATACGTACAAGTGTGTATGTGTGCTAGGCCCGGGGTATGTCGATGCATTTGCCTTCATGCCATAGCGTGAAACTAATGCCGTCTTTGTAGTGATCTCTCCCTAAAATACCATGCCGAAGGCACCCAGCACAGCACTCCGCCAGGTCGCATCATGCCATTACCCCAAACCGAAATGCTCAACGTTTAGGATGAATCCCCAACTACAATCTTTTTTAGAACTTAAGGATTTCCCGGCCAAAGGAGAGAATCCATTCCCTAAATCACTTGGCCTAAGAAAGGAATCCATGGGCCAATTAGCGGGAATAGAGGTTATAATTTTGTTTTGCCTTCTGTACAAATGGAGGGGTTTTAACCAAGCTTTGTATGTAATACCTAGATTTTCTGTAAACGAGAAGAATGGAAGGGTCTGAGGGGCGGGGCCTAATAGGGAAACATAGTGATAATGGTTAAAATCTTTCTTCTTCCGTAGAATTTGAGGAATTCAAACCAAAGTCGGGGTTAACATTTGGCCTCCACTTTGATTTCTAAATTCTTTTTCCATATGTAGATACATAAACATGATCAATAACTGCATAAATGATTATTCGTAATTTCTACTGAAAACTGTAGTGGACCTCCTTGCATATTACCAGGTTGAGTGATGGTTTTGGTTTGGTTTAGTATTGTTTCACGTCCTATCAACAGCTATGATCATTTATGGACGGCTTCCCCTGATTACAAGATGCATGCGTGTAGTGTATGCGTGTGGAGGCTGTGATATGTTCGCGTTCGTCTCCTTTGATAGCGCAGAACTGATACCAACTTTATAGTGCTACCTCACTAACACATACTGCCGAAGACACCCAGCAGGACACCCCACCCGGTCCCATTATATTGACAAGGGGCAAACCCGTCGTTCCACTCCTAAATTGCTGAGCGTTTAGCAGGAGTAGAAACTACCATTTTTACAGACTCTGAAATGTTGGCTAGGGGACAGAACCCAAAGCCTCTCTCACAGGGGCGAACGCTCAGCTAAAGGCCAAAAATATGCATTGTCAATGGAGACATTAGGAAGAAGAAAGTTGTTTAGAAAGAAGAGAAAAGATAAGATCCAAAATTTAGTCGCCTCTTACGATGATGCAATGGGGTCAACAGGTGCAATTCTTTCGCCCTACCTGCATTGATTCCGGTCGAGTGATGGAGGTATCCTAACAAAATGATAGAAATATGTCACAGGCGAATGTTATTTTGAAAAAGAATCAGGATGGTGTATGGTTTGGTTTGGTTTGGTTTATTTTTGTTAAACGTCCTATCAACAGCTATGGTCATTAAAGTACGGCCTTCCATGTGTGCAAGATGAATGCGTATAGTGTATGCGTGTGTGAAGGGAGGCTGCAAAAGTGTTATATGATAAATAAACCGGTTGTCATTTTTTTTTTTAAATTCCTGATGTTGAAAGATATAATTGGTAGCCAACTTTTAAGCAAGTTTGAAGAAAAAAAACTCATTTTAGAACTACAATGTATGTTAATAAACGTGTTAAAAATGGAAATTTTCTCATAAGTAATGAAATTTCACAAATGTTTCTACTTACATTTTCAATAAAAAAAAAAAAAATCCTTCTTGAATTAGTGTAATATTCGGTGTCTCTTATTTTTATACCAGAGAGCTGACTTGCAACGTATTATCCCCAACGGTGTAAGTCAGTGATGTCCCATTTATCATAAAATGAATTCTGAAACTAACTGTTCC